CCCTCAGCCTGTTCAAGTGAACCACAAGCAAGCAGGATGCCAAGGCAAATTGGGAGCATGAGAAAAGCTCCAGCCGTTCTCTCCAGACGGAAATAATTCAGCATTTCTCCCAGCCTAGTGCAGTGCATCATTGAGGTAAGAAAGAGCCTGACTATTTTAATCATTCTTGCTGGATTTGGTCCGTGGTTGCTTGGCTTTTCACATGTAATTAACAACGTGCAGGTTCCAGTAAATGAGTTCAAATAAATCCTTAGATGACTAACAGACAGCAGCTCTAGAAATTCACACAGTGGTGATTGAAAGCCTAGATTCAGATCATTACTTGGGGCCTTAGCTAGCTCACTGTGTACCACAAGCCTGCATAGCAATGCTATATCAGTTTTCCTGCTGCAGAGCAGAACCCCAGGAGTTGTGCTGCAGCCTGTAGGTGATCACATCAAGGCTATTTCTACAACAAATTTAGGAGAGAGAAGGCAAAAATTAAGCTCCTCCATTTCTCCGTTATCAGAAGGCAACAGAAGATGCCAGTGAGCACCACCACACATACTTGTTATGTGGAAGTATTAACTGCTTAATCTCCAAAATCCTCTTCTCAAAGACAACTTTTTTTTAAAAACTCTGTCCTTACACCTCCCAATCCCAGCCCTGACAAGTGACAATAAAGGTTTAGCCCAGTAACCTTCCTCAGTAATCTCCTTTTTGTGCAAAAGTCTCTTTCCATTGCCCTGCCCAAACTCCCAGCTGTAACACACTGCAGGAAAAATCTTATCACAAGCATCCTACAGCACCAAGGAATTTGCCAAAAAATCCCAGGTGAGGCTAGAAAACAGACTGATCCCACACCTCCCAGACAAGCTGTAACACCTGACACCACTGTCTGTTTTTCATCTAAAACCAAGCACTTTAGTACATATTTAAAGTCTGCCAAGTCCTCTTGAAATTGATTGCCAAATGCTCCCTTCTTACTATTTACTGTAAGTTGTCTGTATGATGCTCTAGAAGCTCAGAGTTGAGGTATTTTCCAGTAGAATATAATTAAGCATAACAATAATTAGACAATTGCATGTTGAACTACTGCTAGCCTGTGATAACAGGGTTGTTGAACAGTGATGATATGAGCATAGCTCAGAGCTAAGCAGCTGTGACAACATCACATGTATTACAACACATTCAGAGTTTAAGCACTTGCCAGTTTTAGTGAGTTTGTAACATCCTTTTTCTATCCCAAATCACATAGAGCATCTACACACAAAACCTCCTGGGTTCAGGACATGATTACTGGGTTTCAACAAAAATCAAAATGGATGGGCTGTGTTACCCATCTCAGAGACTTTTCCAAGTGTTACCGTTTGCTGGCAAATAGATAGAGTCTGAGCCACGAACAGCTGAGGCGCAGCTGGTTTCTGGAGAATTACTAAAATATTTCCAAACATCATGCCAGGAACTGCAGGAGTTGTTAACACAGGGATTAAAGCAGGTAGCTGTACCTGGCAGTGCTGCTTAGCTCGAGCCTAGAGCACACGATTCCCACCTGGCCGTGCCTTGCACGATATGTGAAACCAGAAAAACAATCCCAAGGCCATACTTTCTCCTATTTTCTCAAAAAACACTACGAGTCTGTTTACACCAAGTTCATCCAGGAGTTAACCACAAGGAACTTGTGATTACAGGGACTGCAGAAACACGAGTTAGACACAACAGAAGAAGACTGAGAAGGCTCAAATCCATCCCCTTGCACTGCAGCTCTGCTCCGCTCGCCCCGGAGTGCCAGGATCAGCAGTGGGAAGGAAAGAGGGGAGCAGGCTGCCCCATTCAGAAGAGCCAGCCAGCCCACATTTTCAATCCTGAGAGTCTTTTTACACTTCGTCAACCTTTTTTCCATATCCAAAAGAAAAAAAAATAATAATAGGTCAAAACAACCACACTTACCTGCTCCAAAAGCCCACAGTCCTGCTGCACAGCGCTGGAGTGCTCAGTGTTCTGTCTCTCCACTCAAATCAAGCCTGTTTCTCCTTGGAGTGAGGTCAGTATCCAACAGGAGAGTGAGGAGCAGTCATGGTCTCCACCATGAGTCTCTTCTATGGCTGCATATACCACCAGATGACGAGAGCTGGATCCTGCTCTGCTACTTTGGTGTCACACACCCATACTCTTCCTCCCTGGCAGCCTTTGAGCTCAGAGTTCCACATCTACCCTTATTTCAGCTCACAGGACCCCCTGAGCACACTATTCACTCACAAAGCCAAGTTTGGCCACTGCTCAGCTTGATGACCATTCTTTTATCTCCAAAAAGAACATCTTGCAGCTGTCTACCTTCTCACAATCCTGCCACATAGGCTCACTGCAGACAGCCCAGGACAGCCCCCATCAGCTGCTTTTTAAGTTTCCTGCCACACACAACTACTCTACTGGAGGTGCACAAGAGTTTCACCCAGAACAAATAATAAAAGACCCCAAACTTAAGGAAAAACCCTCAAAAGCCCTACCATGAACACTACAGTCACGGCTTCAAGGCAGCTACACCAAAACTTAATGTTAAAAACCCTAGCTTAAACCTAGAAAAACCTCCAAGGAGAAAAAAACAAGCCCACCTCACCCTCCATTTGTAAGCGGCGAAAAGAAAGTGCAGCCCCCCCCAGGACCACACACACCCAGCTGATGAGACTTAGTCATTAAGGCTGATTAAAAGCCTTCAGCTGGGGAGAGCTGCGAGTCCCACCAAGGACAAGGCTCTGTTGGTGCCTGGTGAGGAACAGGACCCCCCCCACCCTGCCCCATGACAGCTAAAATCCCAGTATTGAAAAGAAATGTGAACTGAGATTAGTCTTGACGTTTCTGGGTCTTGTAATCACAGTGGGTGACAAAAGCAAATTCTGGATCAGAGCCTTTCCCGGAGCAATTTAAACACATCTATTTTGAGGAGAGACTGAGTTAAACAAAGGGGTGACAGGCTGTAAGTTGAAAGCCGCAGGATGTGGTGTCCTGGGATTATGTTAAAATCAGGCAGTCCGGGTAGCCTCCAAAATACATAGTTTTTGGAAACTGGGGAGAAAAATTGGTGCCACAGCACAGCACGCAGCCCCTCGCACCGTCCCAGAGTCCTCGTCCCCCTGCATGCTGCGGAGAGGCACCGCTGACCAAAATTGCTTGATCCCTTTGCAAGATGAAGGCTCAATTTAGGAGGAGGAAATAATCAGGCAGGAAGCGAAAATTAAACCATTCAGTGGAAAATGGAGGGGAATGGTTTTCGTATTCATCTGCCTATGCTGGCTTCTTGTCAAAGGACTATTATCGGGAAACCACGGAGGGAACCAGGGACTCCGGTGGGGGGAAAAGTTGTATTTTTCCTGCTTGAGGCTCAGTGACTCCTGCGAGCTATCCCGCAGCAACAGGAGACGGGTTTGAGGTGAAACTTGAACTTTTGGTGCGTTTCCCCGTCAGGTCTGTTCATGCCTCCAGAGGCAGCAAATCCAGCTGCATCAGCAGAGACGCGAGGCCGTGGCGCAGGGAGGTTTCTCATTTTCCAGCCCAGTCGGACCATTGCACGCTCCACACAGCCCAATGGCACCAGCACCAGCACGTGCCTGAGCGTGCACAGAACCAGCCATGGGGGGCTCTGGGGAACTCTTTGAGGAGACAATGGGGCTGCCCGCTGCCAGATGCAGCCATTTCCAGATGGTTCTGGCTGGTTCCTGGTGGCTCCGATAGCCCCACGGTAGGGTATGGCTGAGCCCATCAGTGATGCTGGTGGTGCCTTTAGGGTAATGTATTTAAGAAAGGACAAAACCCCGCAAAAAGGAGGGAAAGGGTGAGAATTGGCCCTGTGAGCAGCATGGTCAGAGAAGAATGAAGTGGGGAAAGAAAAGGTGGTCTAGATGCTGGAGCAGGCATTCCCCAGAAGTTCCCAAAGGGCTCGCTGCCAGAGTAGATATCCACACCTGAGACATGAACCTGTTGGAGTAGGTCCAGAGGGCACCATGAAGAGCAACCAAGGGCTGGAGCACCTCTGCTGTGAGGACAGGCTGAGAGAGTTGGGGGGGTTCAGCCTGGAAAAGAAAAGGTTCCAAGGAGACCTTTTAGTGGCCTTCCAGTACTTAAAGGGCGCCTACAGGAAAGATGAGGACAAGCGTTTTAGCAGGGCCTGTTGCGACAGGACAAGGTCTAATAGCTTTAAGCCAGAAGAGCAAAGATTTAGACTAGGTGTAGGAAAGAAATTTTTTACAATGAGGGTGAAGAAACACTGGCCCAGGTTGCCCAGAGAGGTGGTAGATGTTCAAGGTCAGGTTGGACGGGACTCTGAGCAACCTGATCTAGTTGAAGATGTCCTTGCTTATTGCAGGGGGGTTGGACTAGATGGCCTTTAAAGGTCCTTTCCAACCCAAGCTAGCCTATGATTCTAATATTAATTGGCAGTAAATTAACTTTCAGCACGTTGAGTCTGTTTTACATAGGACGGCAGTTGGTGAGTATCTCCCTGCCTTTCTCCCAGTCCACAGAATCACAGAATCTTCTAGGTTGGAAGGGACCTTAAAGATCATCTTGTCCAACCGTCAACCTAACTGACAAAAATAGACACCCACACAACAAACAAGGAGCATCATCGCTAAACCATACCTCCCAGCACTACATCAACCCGTCTTTTGAACACCTCCAGGGATGGTGCCTCAACCACCTCCCTGGGCGCCCATTCCAGTGTCTGATAACCCTTTCAGTGAAAAAATTTTTCCTAATATCCAGCCTGTGCGCTTTCTCCCCAGTCCTGTCGAGGAGGGCTGTGTGCGAGCGGCTGGCAGCGGCCACGGTCAGCGGCCAAGGGCCCGGGGAAACAGTCCTGGGGCGATGCTCGGGGCACAGCCCTGGCACGTGCCCTGGTGCAAGGCCCTGGTGCAAGGCGCTGGTGCAAGGCTCCAGGCACACCCCGCCGCTCGCAGTCCTCCCAGCCCCCAGGGGGCGCTCTGGCTCCCCGCTGGCTCTGCCGGCGCTAGGGCCCGGCGGCGGAAGGAAGCGTTTCCTACGACGCGCCCATGGAGCCCGGCGGGTCGGGCCGCCGGAGGTAAGGCCCGTCCCCGGGAGGGAGGCAGCGCCGGCGGCCCGGCCCCGGGGGGCTGCCCGCGGCCCGGCGGGGAGGGGGTTGGTACCTGTGGGTAGTCGGGGCGCTCTCCCCTCTCATCCTGTTCCCGCTTCTCGCCCCCGCAGCGCGGCGGAGGTGGTGGCCACCCGCGGCCGCAAGGCCCCTCAGGGTCCCCGCGGCCCGAAGGACTTCATGCCCGACGGCTCGGCCGAGCAGGAGGAGAAGCTGCGGCGGTGCCAGGAGGAGGAGTGGCAGCTCCTCTCCGAGGAGCGTGTGGAGCGGCTGTGAGTCCCCGGGGCTGGGGGCGGCCCGGGGGTCGCAGGGCCACGCTGAGGGACCGGGCACGGGGAGGGGATGATGTCGGGAGGGGGGTGAGGGCACGGCTGGTCTCGGTTCGGGCGTTGTCACGAGTAGAATCGAGCAGTTGATAGCAGGTAGGTGTTACACAGTAAGTGCCCTGGCCCCCCCTCTGGTTCACCCACTCGTAGCTCCCTGGGGGGAGCAGCAGCGGGGCAGCACCCCCCCGGTGTTCCCTGGGGAGCAGAGGGGGATGCTGGCACGCCGGGGGCTTCCATGGGGGTGTTCAGAAAGTCCCTGGAAAGGCCCTTAGTTTTCTCACATGTGTGCCTTTGCAGATGGCAGCCCGAGTTACAGCCCCCTGATGATGCTCATGCGTGGCCTTGGGCAGATTCGGCGACTCTGGGTGTCCCTGGTTTATCAGTTCTGGTGGTTTCAGCAGCGCTGCCAGGCTCTGGAGCTTATCATTGCTCGGGAGATATTCACCCTCCACCTCTCAGCACACACTTTCCCTGTTTAGTCTGCTGTTTTCTGGTAACAGTTTCTCTGCACTGATCAGCAGCAGAAGAAACTATTCACAGAAAATCACAGCACTGGGGACTTTAGAGAGAGAGCGGCGACCTCCAGCAGACAGGCAGGTCAGACAGGGTGGACCATTATCTTCCACTGTTGTTGGGGTTTGCTCAAGTACATCCATAAATGTGCCTGGGGCAGCAGTGGAGACCCTCAGGATGGGAGGGCGACTGGGTAGGTTTAGGTTTCCTTTCAGATAGGGAAATTGTACTGACTAAAGGTATAGAGCCAACTCCATGGTGGACCCTACAGGTCTTAGCTCCTTTTTCCTTGAGCCAGGTGCTAAAAATACATGTTTGCATTCTTGCTCCACTTTTTCTCAGCTGTTAATTTTTTCCTTTGAGACCATGTGGGTGGGATCCAGCGATTTGAGAGTCTTGGCAGCATCTGTACAATTGTATGATACAGTGTGGCCAAACATCTCCAGCAGGCTGCTGTTACCTGTGGACAGGCTATGGTCTGTGGTGCTGCTGAAGATGCTCTTAACTAGTTGTTGGTGATAAAATCTTCAGTTGATACTGCTAGACCCAGAGGATGATGTCTTTCTAAGGCCTTGCCCTGTAAGAATGCCACCTGGAAGTTTGCTTGCCTTTTCATATCTTCCTCGGCTTGTTATCTTGCTGCAACAGGAGTTCATAGTAGGACATGCCAGTAATAACAAACTAATCTTTAACCTCCTCAGGGGGAATCTGGTGAAAGCTGAGTGGAAGCCAGGACAGGGCATCGTAGAGCTGCGGACCCCTGCGGTGAGTCTGCTGCAGCGTGTACTCGGTGCCATCATCTCCCGCTGGCCCTGGCAGAGTCCTTCATTTGCTGCTTGATGTGGGAGAGAGCCTGGTTATCAGCAGGGAACACCCGAGCCCATTGTGGATTTGTGCTTCTCTTCCAGGGGAAGTTCTGGCACACCATGGGGTTCACAGAGCGTGGCAAACAGTGCCTGCTGCCCGAGGAGGCTCTGTACCTGCTGGAGTGTGTAAGTAGGGTACCTGTGCGTGGATGGGGACGTTGGGTCCTTCCTGAGTGACTGGAGGAACTGTAGCAGCTTTAGACTGAAGTCGGAAATCGCTTGACTTGGGTTGGTCACTGATTTGAGCAGCTGATAAACACCCAGTTCTGGAGGAATTGTCTCTCTTAGCCTGCTTGCTGATGGAGCTGTTTGTCCCCAGGCCGTGGGTTCATGTGTTGTGCTCCAAAGCAGCCTCTGTGTCATTGACAGTGTGTATTAGTTGGATTGGTGGCCAGTTTATCCAGCTGGTATTAGATACGGCTTTTTTACCTCTGGTAAATAGATCGTAAACAAATGGATAAAACCAAAATTGTTTAGTCAGTTACTGAGTACAAAATCTCTCCCCAGACGCAGAAAAGACCTGTGAGATGTCTCCAGCCCATCCCATGGGAGAGGTGTTGTTCCTAGTGTTTTGTTCTCTTTGTTTAAGAGTAAACACATTTAAAAAAAAAAAGAAAGAAGTTAGCCTAAAACTGCCTTCTGGAGCTTCTATCAGTGGCCAGTTTATCCAGCTGGTACCAAGATACAGGCTTTTTTACCTCTGGTAAATAGATCGTAAGATTGGTGGCCAGTTTATCCAGCTGGTATTAGATACGGCTTTTTTACCTCTGGTAAATAGATCGTAAACAAATGGATAAAACCAAAATTGTTTAGTCAGTTACTGAGTACAAAATCTCTCCCCAGAAGCAGAAAAGACCTGTTGGATGCCTTCAGCCCATCCCATGGGAGAGGTGTTGTTCTTAGTGTTTTGTTCTCTTTGTTTAAGAGTAAACACATTTAAAAAAAAAAAGAAAGAAGTTAGCCTAAAACTGCCTTCTGGAGCTTCTTTGCTATTGCCTGGGGGAATCTACCTATGGCATCACTGGGGCTGCAGTAATTGCTTCTGAGGAGACACCCATTGATGGCTTCTGAGGAATTCCTCTGCTTCAGTTCTCAGTTGTGCTGGTCCTAAATGTTTGTGTAGTTGTGCTGTGTCCTGAATCACTGAGGTCATCAAAGTTAAAGGAAATTATCTCCCAAAGCACTGATTATTTTTAACAGTTGAGTGTCTGTGCTCCCAGCTGCATCTTCCAAACAGACGCAGCACTGGAGCAGGAGCTGAAAGATGTGGGTGGGGATTTCTTACTTGCATGCTCCCAGCTGCATCCTCCAAACAGATGCAGCACTGGAGCAGGAGCTGAAAGATGCAGGTGGGGATTTCTTACCTGGCTGTGAAACCCAGGACATGGGGGGAACTGGGCATGGGAGAGGGACTGTAAGTAATCCAGGTGGCACATGGGGAGGCGTGGATATCCTGTGAAGGAGAGTGGGAAGAGGCTGGTGTGAGCTTGCATGGATTTGTTCCCTGTGATTCTCTCAACACCAAGCTTTTGCCCTGCAGGGCTCTGTTCAGCTTTTTTACAGGGATCTGCCCTTGTCAATCCAGGAAGCCTACGAGATCCTGCTGTGCCAGGAGGCGATGAGCCTGCCACATTACCAGGTGTGTGGGGACCTTCAGCTATTGCAGGGAGGATGGAGGCAGAGACCCCAGCCTCTGCCACGCAACCTCTTCCAGTGGCTGAGAGCAGAGTGGGACAGTTAGAGAGGAAAGGGGAGTCATTCTCAGTTTTTCCCACTTGCCTTCTTCCAGATGGTCAGCTCCTGTTTCCCTACCTTTGCTTTGCTTTGAGTCTTTATCCTGGTGTTTTCTCCTCTGCCAGTACCACTCTGTGTTTGCCCAGTTGTAGCAGAAGTGAAGTAAATTGTTTGGTTTTAGGGTAGTCATTTAACCCTCTTGCTTTCCTTTGCTCTAAGGTGTTCAGCCACTTGAAGCAACTGGGTTATATTGTACTGAGATTCGACCCCAGGTAACCAGCTTTTTCTCTCCACGCTGCTTTCTCCTTTCTGAAGACCCCGAGCAGCTCTGTGCCCACTGCATGGCCCCAGTGGAACGACAGAGAAGAGGACTTTGACCCTGCTTTCCATCTCTTGGGAGGATTAAAGGCTAAAAGTGGCACTCTACCCTTCCTTGCTCCCCCCTCTTGAGGAGGTGATTGGGAACATGAAATGGGGCATGAACTGAGGACCATTCTGGTCCTGCTTGTGGATTTTCTGTGCCTGGAAGAAAAGTTTTTGTTGCTGTGTTCTGGGGGCTGAGCAGAAGGGTAGTTTCACTGCCTCGCCCTGCTGTCAGCCTCTGGTGTTGGTGTCTCCTTACAGCACTGTCCTGTCTCCCTACGAGAGGCAACTGAACCTGGAAAGTCACTGCCAGAGCTCTGGGAAACACCATCGCAAGAGGAGGAGGAGTTCCAGCCCCCGGTAAGGATGTGGCCCAAAGCGTTTTTCCATCTTCTCCCAACCTCTACAGCTTGGCAACAGCATCCTTTGTGCTGAGGGGGACCTGTCTGGCACAGCTGCTCTTGGCAGTGCCCAAGAGTGCAGTGCAGTGCTTTTCCTGAAGTCTTTGCAGTGTGCCCTTTTGTCAAATCTGTACTTAATGCAGGGCTAATAGGAGCAAACTGCTCCTGAGCCTCCCAGCTGCAGGGGTGAGATGCCAGAATAGAAGGGTAGAGAGGTCAGAAGAAATGCGTGGCAGATGTCTCCTCTTGCTCTTTTTTAGAGGGAGCACAGACACCACAGTGCACATCTTGCACTTATCCACCCTGTGCTAGGACTGTACAGCAGAGAGTGTAGTGGAGTCCTGGTCCTTGCACGTGGCCCCTAGAAATGTGCCAAATGCAAACAGAAACTGACAAAATTACTAATTTTGCCTAATAATGATGATAGCTTCCAGTAGGTGGCGTCATCCTTTAAGAAACGGGAGGACAAGATTGGTCTGCAAGTCCTTTCCTGTTAACAAGTAAATCAGTGCCTGAGGAGTTATGAAATTTTAGGAATTGAGAGATAAAACTGATGGTTTAATAAGTGCTCCATCTTCTGTGGGACCAGGGACTGAATCTCATATCAGTAAGGGGTGCTGGCAGGAAGGTTTCCACCAGTCCTGTGCCGGTTTGGCTGAAGTCTATCATGTTTGGGTCAGTGTACAGGGTGTGTGGAGGCTGCATGGCAGGTTGGGAATGTGTGTCGGTACAAATCAAGGATTCTCCTGGGCATTGAAGTCAAAGCTCATGCAGGACTGCTGAGAGTTTATTCTGCCTTTGGCATTCACTGCTAGTTTTTGGCCTGCCTTTTTTCCTTCTCGTTTTGTCACCCAAGCAAACACCCTCCTTCCAGCCAGCAGGTGGTTGTCAAGGGTTTGCAGACCTGTCTGGAGCCACCTTTGCCATCCTTCCTTCAGACTTGGCAGACTGTGTTCCTCCTGTTAGAAGGGAGAAGGCAGGATTCAAAGGGAATAAAGTTCTACCACATGCTCTCCCTGTCTCTTATGCTGCTGCTTCTGTCTTTAGGTCACATGAGAAGAAACATAAGGTATGTGAAGATCTTCCAGAAGCTGAAGGGACCTCAAAAAAAGCTGCAGATGACTGTCGAGACTCCAGCTGCCTTCCCATGGATGAAAAGCCTGTGTCAGAGCAACCAAAGAAATCAGATGCTGGCAGTAGAGGGGGAGAATCAAACCCAGTTCCTCTTGATACAGGACAAAAGAACTCCCTGAGCCCCTCCTGGAGCCGGGCTGGAGACCAGAAGGAGAGCAGCTCTGGCACCCATGCACCACGCTGGGATTTTACCACCATCATCTTGCCAAATGTGGCCCCAGACCAGCCGTGCACAATTCTGCCTTCACCTGACAACGGGCTCCTACCGCAGAACGTGCCGGGGAGGGAGGTTAATGCATCTTGCTGGTGCGCACGGATCAATCAGAAACAGGAGAAGCTGTCACGGAAAGAAAGGGAGCAACGAGAGAGAGAGAGCAGGTACAAGAGCAGTGTCAACGCTGACCGGGAGGTGAGGCACTGCTCCAACTGGCAGGAGTACAAAGCCCTTCTGGCGCAGAGGAGCCGGCAGAGGGTTTGGAGACGACCGCCGCATCTCTGGGACCAAGCTGTCACACCGCTTCTGCGGCCAGATGAAGCTACCTCACAAGGTAGAGGCTCTGGGAACTTGACTGGGACCCCCTTTCCCCCCCTCCCCCAGCTCTGTGAAACATTGCCTGGTGTGCAACAGCAGAAGGGATGACATGGAGAAGCTGAACATTAGTTTAGGGGACAGTACCTTGTAGAAGGAGAATCTCATTAGAAGCCCTGGGCAAAGCAGGCACAGAAGAACCCAGCCACGGACGTGGGGAGAGAGAAGAAAGCTTGTCCTCTGCCTTTCCATCTCTTTCTATAGGCCACTCAAGTGCCAGGATAAACAGGGCCTTGGGAGGTCTTCTAATCCGTTCCCCATGTCCTACGGTATTGCAGTCGTTCCTGCTCGGCTGTCAGGCGTGGGGAATCGGGGCCAGCAAGATGCAAAGCAGTTGCAGGGTGTTCTGGGTTGTGAGCTGGGAGGAGATGAGGAAGTTGAGGTCTTTGAAGTAGCCAGTGGTGACTGTGGTGCTGCCAGCCATTGTCGGAGGAGGAAGGCTCGTGGGTGGTGGTGGAGTGCTTGGGAGTGCCCTGGGAGAGAAATAGCTGGTCTGATCCTTTCCTGTTCTTTCTTCCTCCAGCTGCGCTCCTCCAGCAGATCAGCGTGCTGCAGCCCTCCCACATCCTGGATGGAGCCTCCCGGTTAGTATCCAGCCAGCCAGCTCGTAGCTGGTAGGGAGTGGGGGGTGTCTTGTGACTGTCCCTGCTTGTGAGGTCTGAGAGATGCTCGCAGCAGCAGTTTGGGAGCTGCCTGGCATCCAGGATGCTGAGAGAATCCAGTCCAGTGCTCTGCTCCATGACCCTGTTGCATCTGTAGTGAGGGGCTGACATTTCCATGAAGTACCAGGTCCTGCAGCAACAGGGTTAGGGCATTCCAGGCCAATGAAAACATCAGGGTTGCTCTCTTTTCCTGCTGTTGCCTCAGCACCCCAGCCAGGTGATCTCCCCCACAGGTTTGGTGGGGTTTCACCTATGCCTCATCCCTGGAATGTGCAGCCATCCCCTGCTGCAGTGGTTATAAAACCTTGGCTTTGGGACTTGCAGTTCTGCTCCTGCCTCAAAGAGTTGGTGTGGTGTTTGTGTGGAGTCCCTGTAGGGCAGAGCTGTCCTTTGCTCCTCTGTCAGTGGTACTTCTTGCAAGGGGGTCTGCAGAGAAGGGAGTGTGGCAGATATGGGACAGGAGGTTGCTCTAGTCTAAATACAGGAAAGATCTGGAAAATAATTAGAACAGTTGCAGGGTCAGTCCTTTGAGGAGTGAGGCCTTCCAAAGTGCTCACACTAGCTGGGCTTCAGAGCTTTTGTTCCCTCTTTCCTCTGCTGTACCTGGTAACGTTTCATTCCCATATGTATGTGGATGTGTTATCTCTTCTGAAGGCTGCAGGAGGACCCAGAGGGTTTGAAGATAGACTTCAATGTGTATCAAGCAGATGCTGTGGCCAAGTTTAAGAAGACAAACCCTGGGAAGCCATATGTCAGGATGTGTGTTCGGAGGTATCCGTGGGTCTTGTGCTTTGTTATGAAATGTAACAGTTCTGGAAATGAAGTCCTAATGATCTGTAAATGACCCAGCATCTTGTGAGCTTTACAGATCATCCGAGTGCCTCCCCTGAGGGTGGTCCTGCCCAGAATTTTTATTTTTTTCTTTCAGTTCCTCCTTTGTTGGAGGCTGTGGCTGATAATTCCCCCAGCCCTTGCACTCAGCCCACAGTATTTGGTCATCTGATTGCTGCTCATCTCTGAGTGTTACTGGAGTAAGGAATAAGAAGCCAGGGCTGTATTTATGCAATGCTTGTGAAACTCAGGTAGAGCTCAGTTTTGCAGGGAGCCATATGATACCTGAATCCTGAGCCAGTGCAGATCCCTCTGGATTTCTGAAAAGATATACCTCCCAAGAGCTCACTAAAGACTCAGGGCCATGGGTTTAGTATTTTGATATTTTGTCATGTTAAGATCAGTTCGAAGAGAGGATAAGTGTTCCCTTTCTTGCTGGATCTAGAATCTGATACTTAAACTCCATAAGCAGGTACAAAGTTTAGTCTTTGCCTTTTCTAAGTGTGTTACATCCTAAAACTGTCCCTTCTCCGCTCTGCAGCTGTAGTAGCCAGAGCAAGGAAGGTGGTGACACAGTGTTACAAGAGCAAGTGGGGTGATCCTTGCTTTATAAATATTTTCATTTACGAGCAAACAGACACTTCAGGATTAAAAGGAGGGAAAAGCAGGTCAGATGTTGATCCCAGCAACCTAAAGATCTTCCTAGCACAGAGGTATTAAGATTGGACTGGGCTGGCAATTTGCCAGCAGCCCTGTGAGCCGCATCTAATAGTCACAGCGTGGAGCAGCGTGCAGTTGCCCTTGTTTTTGGCAAAGGATTTGACAATTCCCAGTTCCCAGCATGCCCTCTTGGGGCTGGCAGCCCCCTGCTTTGACTGAAAGGGATGGGGAGGGTCGCTACCAGCTCCTAAGACCAAAATGAGCTGTTGTCATCACTGGCCAGGACAGCTTTGTCTCTGTATTCTTCTTGCTTTGAGAACAACGGGATGTTTTTCTCTCTGCAGCTTCGATGAACAGATTCCATCCCTTCGGGCTTTGAAGCAGGTTACGTATCAGAGTGGGGACGTCCCCGTGGTCTTTGCGCTGGTGGATCATGGAGAAGTTGCCTTCTATTCGCTAAAAGAATTCAAGCTGCCAGTTGATATCAATCACTGAAGTTGCTGTCACTTGCAGTCATGGTACGGGAAAAGCTTTACTCAGGATCTGTTTTCTTGATGAGTGAAACATTATGGAAAATAGAGCCTGTGATAACTGGAACCTTGGGTAGTCAACCACTTTATTTGCCCAACTTCACCCAACCTGATGGCTTGGGCATTATAGCAAATTTTACAGCAAACAGGGGTGTATGGCTTAGCTGGGCATTTCTGGACTGGAATACACACTGCTTTGTTCTTGAAGCCACTGGTTCTCCAGCTTTCTCATCTTGTGGACCACTAGTCTGCCTTTCCTGTGTCATCTTTGGCTGACCTGTGGACCATTAGAAAACACTTCCCTGATGATCCTCTTGTCACATGTTAAGAATGACTATGCTACACCAGTTGAACGGTTGGAGAGTCATTGAGGTCAGTCAGGGATGTTACTGATGGCTTGGGCATTATAGCAAATTTTACCCAACTTCACCCAACCTGATGGCTTGGGCATTATAGCAAATTTTACAGCAAACAGGGGTGTATGGCTTAGCTGGGCATTTCTGGACTGGCTTTGTTCTTGAAGCCACTGGTTCTCCAGCTTTCTCATCTTGTGGACCACTAGTCTGCCTTTCCTGTGTCATCTTTGGCTGACCTGTGGACCATTAGAAAACACTTCCCTGATGATCCTCTTGTCACATGTTAAGAATGACTATGCTACACCAGTTGAACGGTTGGAGAGTCATTGAGGTCAGTCAGGGACAGAATAAGCTGATCAGATCAGTGCTGATGTCCTGAGCCTCTGTCGTTCAGCTATGCCAACAACTGTCAGATCGGATTCTGATCTGAAAAAGGCACAGCCATAAAACTCAGCCACCTGGAGTAAAGTTTCCAGGCACTTGAGAGCAGGAAACTGTGCCTTGAACACAGTTTCATCAGCCGGAGGTCACAGAAAGCCCCAGAGCATTGCAGATGGCACCTCAGGCTCATGCTGTAGCAGCTGTACTGAGATGCATTTTGGCCACAGAGCATTATGCCATATTAAAGTTTGGCCACCAATATCAGCATGCTGTACTTGATAGTCTCACCAGGGCTGCAGCCCTCTCCATTTCAGCCTGACATCCTCTTTCCTGGCTGTGGATCCTTATCTTGTATTTTGTAAGTGAGAGATCCCTGAGTAAAGAAAGAAGCTATAAATTCCTCAGGAGCCTTCCAGTCCTATGGCTGTTGTGCTCCAGACAGAGGACATTACTTTCCAGGCCCTGCTGTTGGAGCTTTCCACCAGGATATGCAGATACCAAATGTGTTTTAGCCTCTATGCAAAGGTGCCAGTGACAGGTGCCCGAGAGTCTGCTCAAAGCTGAGCGTGGAGGTGTTGGGTATCGAGGTTCTTCAGGACTGTAGTAGCAACTGGTTTAGATGCATTTTATTTGATACTTTTTAAGTTCCTTTGGAGGTGGGGAGAAGGCTAAGCAATAAAAAAGCCTTTTCCAGCACCGTGAGCTCCTCAGTGTGGTTTTTAATTATGAGAGGGAGGCTACTGGGACCCCAGTAGCACCAGCTGGTGAGTGCTTGCTCATGGTCATACAACCCTGTGGCTGCATAATCCTGCTCCTACACCCGTCTGTGTTTGGATCCAGCTGCTTCCCCGTTCCCTGGGAGGACAGGGTGACTCAGAGCCCGGAGGAGTCCCCAGGTCTGCCTGTAGTTCCTGTCGGCACATGACACCGACACCTTGCCATCTTCCTCCTGCGTGGTCAGAGGTATCGTAGCCCAAGGTGGCAGGAATCTGCTGCAAGCACTACTATGCCTGGTCCTGTTTCATGCACACACCCCTCTTATCAGATGCTGGAAGTCAGCAGGGCTGAGGTGAGGGTCTGAGAGCTCCTACGCACCCTCCCCTTCCTCTTCCTCCTCCCAGCTGATAGTCCTCTTCAAACGCCGGGGTTGTTGGCAGCTCCAGTCTGTGCCCTCAGCATTCTCCCAGACTGTTTTGCAGATTAAAGGCAGTGGGAAGAGAGTTTCTAAGAACAGGCGCAGCCAGAAGAGCTCCAGTCTGACCCACAGGGCTCACGTTTGTCCTGGAATTAGGTCAAGCTCACTCCTGTTGATTTCAATCAGCCTCATTTGCTTATGCCAAGGAGGAATTGTATCGATGAACTCTACGAGAGCCACCCAGTGAGTTTCGCTGGAGCGGAGACTCCCTGATTCAGCACAAAACAATTACAATTTAATAACCACTGCAGGGAGGATTGAGAAACTGTGGCTGCCTTGCTCAGCACCACAACATCTGACGGAGCCTTTACCAGGATGGGATTATGATGCAGACTGATACCACCGCTTTGTTTTGGCCTGCGATGCGAATCGGCTGGGTGTCGCAAGGAGGTGATAGAAACGAACATTGTAATTGAAAAACATCACTTTTGGAAGCTCGGCTGAGGCGGCGACTGTTGCTGGCCCCCCGTGAGAGGTAATTTCAAGCTTTTGCATGGGCGCAGAGAGGTTGGCAGACCTTGGACTGCCGTTGCGCTCCACATGACTCCTCGCCCAGCCGGGCATGGGCCGAGCCGTGTAACGAGACGGCAGCTCTTGTGTGGCTCTTTCCAACGCAGGCTCCAGCTTTCCGTTGAGCTTTTCCATCGCTTTCTGTTCGGCAGGAAGGCGCCAAGCCCCGGCCCCCGGCGGAGCGGGGCGGAGGGGACCCCAAAGCCACCCCCGGCCCGGGCCGGTGCTCGGTGCCCGCGTCCCGCCCTCCCGCAGCCAGGCGCTGCCCCTGCCCACACGGCGGCGGCCGCTTTCTGATTGGCTCCGGGCGAGCGGGCCGCTAAATTATTCATATCCGCGCCGAATGAGAGGCCGCGACTCGGCTCTATTTGCATACGAAGCCCCGCCCCCAGGGTGGTTGGTTGCATACGCGGGGCCCTGCCTCGTAGGGGGCGGTCCCATGCGAGGCCCCCGCCCCCGCCGCGCCCCTCCCGGAGGTGCCCGGGGAGGGAGGACGCCGCGGTGCTGCCGGCCGGGGGCGGTGCCCGCCCCTGCCCGTCCCTCCGGGGCTTTGCTGAGCCCCGCGGGGCTCCCTCCCGGAAACCCTCTGGCG